AAAGATTATGTCTTGTTTCTATATAAAAGCATATTTTTCAAGTAAATATTTATGGGAAAGCCTGCCGAAACGCAATCTAATGTAGTACAAATTTAATCCTTACATAGGGCAGGACCCAAAAATAAGCGTAGATGGTCCAAATTTGGTAGAGTTAATTTTTGTATGAAATTACTATTATGAGCAGAAAAGTCTGCTCTACAAAGGGTCAATTTTCGTAAAAATGCTTATTAAGGTAGGATCTAAAAAATAAGCCGAAATTTGGTACATTTTTTTTTCTGTTAAATTACTATTAGTTTTCTTCATGGAGAACTGAAAATTATACCTTTTTGTTCGTGTGAACTTTAGGTTTCGTTATATGAGGGTGTTCAAAAATTGACCCAGCCAGTCCAAAATTTCCATACCAATTCAGAATGCCCCAATACTACCACCTACCCAGTTTTGTTGACAAATTTTAAAAATTGCAATTCTTTTCCACTTTGCGCTCGTCCTTGAGTCAAAACACGTTGCTGTACCAAATTTCATCGAAATATCTCAAAAATTTAAAATTGTAGCTTGGACACAAATTCACATGGAGAGACATCAGACGGACAATCGAACAAACAGGTGTATATCAATTCAGATTATGATTCTGAATCGGTCGGTATAAAAAAAGGTGGGTTGATCTTAAACCCTGCACAACAAGTCGTGAAGGGTATTAAAATTTGAACGAATGTCTTCAAGTGCAGAGTTTTAACACGTTTTAAAAAGGCGCTATAACCTATCAGAAAACCCTAATGTCATTACTGGATCTCATCCTGGATATGTTCTATCACAGCCAAACTAAAGAGAAAAAGAAGGAAAAAATAAAGAGAATGAAAAAGCAGGCAATCAAGCGCACGCACCTGCGTTTGACGTTAAATAACAGTCCTACGGTTCGTTTGTATTGTTCACCTGTCCGTTTCTCTGTGTTCATGTATTTGTTGGTCTGTTAACTCTTCGTGCCTGACACACATTCTACTTAACGAAATTCCGTTATTATATGGAACACTGCTCTCTTGTGAAGCGCAGAAAAAAACCCGACCGACCGAAACCCCCCACAAGTGCGTAAAGAGTCATCATTTAGAAACTGATATTGACAAATAATTTGTATATTTATTATACAGAAACTCTATTAAAGTTAATTACTTGAAAGGAAAAATAGCGCATAGGCCTGATATATTTTCGGACAAACTGCTATTTAAAATAAACGCTAATGCGCCTGGTGCAACACCTCAAGGATGGTACGGAAAATTGCATAAAATGAAATAAAAAATTGATATTGATTAATATTATTACAATCAAAGCAACTCAAAAACATACAAATAAATTCTTAAACAAGTGCATGGACGTCCTACTACACCCGCGTACAGAGCGGTAAATTTTAAACAAATTTCTTTTTCATCGAGGTTTCACTTGACCAATACCAACATGAAGAAAAAAATGGAACAGCATCGATAACTCAATTGTCGGTGGGTTACGGTCATCCATGTGTGATTCCTCCAAATTCTACCCTAGAAAGAGTGAATTTAACTTTCATTCTATAAAATTCTTATCGGCCGGTCCGAACTTTGTCGTCTTTCTTCACTAGATGCCCCTTTTTTTTACATTGACTTTCCCATTTATCCACAAATGTACAATATTTTGATATGAGTTGCAAGTCAATCCTAATTTTGTATTATATAAATAAAACAGTTAAAGAGGAAAAAGGCTTATATAAATTTATTCTTGTTTTTAATGAATTTAAATTTTGTTACTTTTCCCTCCACCATATATTCATCGGAAAGTTGTTTTCAATATGTTGCGAAACCTCTCCCATGATAAAATACCTGTAACATAAAAATTGAACTCTCAACATTGCTAAAAACCAATCAACAGTGTTTGTCTGAAAATGACCAAAATACATATTGTTATGAAATTCGCTTTTTACAAGCTACAGTCCGTATCACTAGATCGTAGATATTTTGATCAAGAGAAATACACTTCAAAGTTCTTTTTCTTTACAATTATATTTCTTTTAATGTAGGATTATTTACAAATTATTTTTGGCATTACTTTCGACTGCTTAACTCAAATACTCTTTTTCTAATGTTTTGTCTTTCACAAATATTCTATTTATATACATTTTTGTCATCCTTTTACTAGCACCTAATTTTATGACTTGACATTTAATTCGTTAACCTGCTTTTGTTGGTAACCGTTTTCATCGGCATGCAGCTGCATGAGGCGCCTAGCGAATGTAAATTTGGTTGTAGAAAATTACTAGATTTGGGATTTCCGTAACAATATATTTTTTAATAAAAATAAACAAAAACTCAGAAAAATTCTCCCTCAAAACTTTAATTTAATTAATAGCTTGACCGAAACATTATGATAGCTTTCTTATTTTTCTCGAGTGTGAGAATGTCTAGGCCGAAATGAGAAAGAGGAATAAAAAAAGGTAAAGCTCAGATCATAGTAAATAGACGACTTGACGATCGCTATTGTGTCTTAATCTAAAATTAAATAGAAATAAGTAAATAAGTTATAAATAGCAATGAGTAAAGATAAATGCATACTTACCATTGGAATAAAGCGAGTATTGCGAGGAGGCGCGGTGGACTTGACTCGTGGAGGCATTAACGCGCGGAGAAGTTGACGGACTTGACCTTAGAAATACGTTATGTTAATGTCCCTGCGCTCTCGGAAATTTACTCCGAACAGCAGTAAACTCAACGCGAAACCAAGTAAATTTGTTCGGTGCAGCTGCACGACCCCGCACGAGTCCGGAGAAAGTCAAGCCATGCCACTATGGTCGCCTGCACGCGCTTACCTATATTCTGCTCGACCATGTGTTGCTTCATGGCCGCGTAGAAAACCTCGTACGCCTTCTTAAATGCTGCAAGGACGTCTTGCGTTGGAAGGGCCGGCTTGAGATATTTCGAGGTCCAGGCCAAGCTATCCCGCTTACCTCTCGCAACCCTTCGACCTAAGACTCCAGCAGCTAGTCCATGAGTGCTTCGAAATTCTTGATTGTTAGGCGGGTGTGCATTGCTACGTAGTCCGCCGCCAAATTATTTAATAAATAGTCATGGAGGTCTTCCAGGTCAGCCCGGAGCTCCACCCATCGCTGTTGATGGAGCCGCGGTGGTAGACGTTCGCGGACTTCGTCAGCATTGTGGTCAGGACGCACGTCCTTTGCGCTTTGCCGTCGTGGTCTTGAATCTCCTCGTTGCCGGTTGCTGCTTGTAATGTAGCGTCCTGCATATCGTTCACCGACTGTAGCGCAGTGGATATCCCCCACGGCATGCTGTATTGCGGCATGCAGCCCCTCTTTTCCCGGTAAGAACAGCTGGGCGCTCTCATTTGCGCCAGCATTGCTAATATATTAGTAACGTAAATTTCGCTGGGCTTCCTAAATTTATGAAGGTATGCCTCTAATAGGTGGGTATCCTCGTATAATAGCCTCAAGAGGTGTATGCTGCCGCCTCCTGTTGCACACGCCGTTTACAAACTTATCAAGACATACACGTTGAGCAAGGACAAAAATATTATGTGTATAAAATCAAAGCAACATCCATTAGCAACATTGTTGCAACATTATTGGAACATTTCGCATTTAACGTCTTAGGTACACAGAGAGGGCATGTTTGGAGTGAGCTTAGCGGTGATAGACTCTCGACATAGTAACGAAATTCTGACAGGTTTTAAGGTGTTTTTAAAACACACCAAAAACCTGCACTTGAAAAAATGCGTTCAAATTTTTTATACGTACTTTGTATTGTACATTTTTGTATATTATATATGCACTATATGATAAATAGTACCAACAAATATTATTTTTTAATTTCTTATAACATTGCTGTATGATTTCGTGCTGTATTTATGCTTGTACTTTCTCTTTTTGTTTATTTTTTCTTATCATTTTGTTATTTTTTGGACATCGTTCAATTCTCTTAGCAGGGCGCGAACCACGTGTGAAGGTAGCCGCTTTTTAGTGAAGACAAAAATGTGGGCTATATACATAACTTCACGCTAGTGAAATTTTACAATTTTTTTGGTTTTGTTTGTGCATCTTTTAGGAAAAAAATGAAAATCATTAAAGATCTCTCCGTAGAGTGAATGTAATTTTCTTACCTATTTGACCAAATATTTTCATATTTTCATCTATTATTTCTACCTTTTTGAATTCACCAGTAAAGAAAACAATCGAACTCTTTATAAAAATATTTGTTGGAATTAAAACAAGTAAGATAGTTATATTCGCCGGGGGTCGAATCTCGCATACCCACCATCATGTTTTTCGCATTCTACTCTCCAAGTTCTTTTATTTAATACCCGTATCGCTAATATTATTAAGAAAACAGTAATCGCGGTATATACCCAAGTTCACGCATTTTTACACATATAATATATGTTCATCTGAAGAATGTACAAAACAGTTTACACATTCTGTCTTGTTTACTTTTTAATTAATACGCATAAAACCTCAAAGAAGTGAAAAAATAAAATTTTAATAACTTGCAACTATGTGTGGGCATTGCGAATTTTTTTCATTTTGCATTTTTCATTTTGCATATTATTATTATTATTAATTTCGCCAGAGAAATAAATTCTAAGACTAAACTCTTAAAAGCACTAGCATCTAAAGGTATCGGTTTTTTATTAAAAACTCTACCGCACTTGAGATTCGAACCCACGACCATTAACTTGCTAGTCGAGATTCCTCGCCTTCGGCTACTCAGGCGGACAGTTGCACATTCATAGTACAACTTTCTGTTAAGTAAAAGTGAAAATTTTTAGCCCTCTATCTTTTGTAACTTGTGATTAAAGAACACAACACCACAAAGTTTTGCGTAGAAAAACAGAGTAGCGTTTAGCTTAGGCTTCATTGAACGTTTCTGCTGCGACCAATTTTGCCCGTGTTCAATACCAACTGACGTGTAGAAGATTCCAACGTTTTTATCAAATTTTAAGTCGATATTTTAATTTTTGCGACCAGGAGAATGTCAATAACGCAGGCCACACAGACAGACACACATGAATTTCATGCTGACGCGGAATGTATATATTTTACAGAGTCTCTGAATCATCCTTCTAATAATAAGGTAAGTAAATAAGCATAAAACCTCAAAAAAGGGAAGAAAACAAAGTTTAATTACTTATAACTTTGTGTGGGCACGGCGGATGGTTTTCATTTTTGCACGTAAGAAGTGGAGTGCTTCGTAAAGTAAATGTAGAAAATTTCAGCCTTCTAACTTTTATAATTTCCAACTAATTAGTAAAAATCTCGAAAATAAAAAAAAAAACGGAGTTGCGTTCAGCTTTCTCTCCACTGCACGCTTCCGCTCTGTCCGCTTTGGCCCATTTCCAATACCAACCTGTGTGCAAAAACTTCCAATGTTTGTATTAAGTTTGAAGTCGATATCTTCATTTTTGCGATCAGGAGAGTACCAAGGGCCCACACCACACAGACGGACAGACATGGCTAACTCAATTCAGAATTTCACGCTGATCAAGAATATTTATACTTTATAGGGTCCCTGATGCTTCCTTTAGGGTGTTACATGCATTACGGGAAAGAGCCAAATGAGTATACCCCAAACTAACAGTGGTGGGTATAAAAAGAATAAATTAATGCAGCATAAGAATGAACGGGAGTATTTTTAAAGTATGGTGCGCATCGTAACTTGTTTATTTGAATTTTAAAAATAAAAACATTTCATATATGATGTGGCATGCATTGCAGAGAATCGATAAGTGCTTAATGCACTTTAAAGACAATAATTCAATTAAACTACTATCTTATCTTACGTGAAGCACTCATTAGACTTACAATAAATAATTAACAAATGTGTCAAAAATCTTTTTATCTGCAGTTCAACGCCACAAATGTGTGCAAAAATATTTCTTACTCTTCGTCTCTATCTCTTTAATGTTTACGAACGCGTGTAAGGACATTAGTTAGTTTTTTGATGTAATATGAACTAAATCCACACATAAACACAAACATACACACGAACACCCAAATACACACGCGCTTTTATACATAGAAAAGTAACAGTTTATGTACTAATTAAAATTTTATCGTGGCATCTTGTTTGTTTTTGTTGACGCTAAACCGAAAATACATACATGAGTGCGGTCGAAACGAAAAAAAAGATCCAAAAAAGCCGTGCATCCAAAGCAACAATCGCATGTATGCTCGTGCATTTTATATTTACTGTTAGGGCTGAACTTTCAATGCCATTGCAAACATACACGCCCCGAGAATATGGCAGACAATATTGTAATGTGCCAACGTAACTACAACGATAAAAATGAAAAAAAAAAACAAGGACAACGATAATAATAACAACAACAACAATAGTACTGCATTTGCAACACGTTTTTCATATTTTAACGTATATTTGCACATATAGTAGACTAAGAAAAACTTTTCTACATACATATAGCATATGGGTGGACATGCATGTATTTGGGTAATCGGTACCATTACACATACACAAACATTTATAGTTCTCAGTTATATTCATTTTTGCAAATGCATATACGTGATGCGTGACCGTATTATACGTTTACGTGTGTATGCATTTATATTTATTTACAGACATACATTACATATATACACAAAGGTATATAAGTATATGTGCATAAATGGACGTACGTACAAATGTATTTATATATATACATATATGTGTATCTGCATATAATGCGTTCTTCAAAAATTTCCAGGATTTAGTAAGAAAAAACTTTTCTCTTATTTTTTTGGAAAATCCGTCTTTATTCGTGAACACCGTCTGCTTCAGAAATAATACATTGGATCCAACGGTTATTTAAGAGAACGTTCGCCGTATATTTCGTTTTCATACAAAACATTTGCAACGCTCAGCAGCAAGCTTTGGATATTCGATGCAGTATATATATTTTTGCTTAATACTGAAGTCTGAATCGATGTATGCAAATGTAATGTCTGGCTATGTAATGTCTACGCTAACCGTTATCCTGTCCCCTAAAATGAAGGTATTGGCTCAAATTTGGCAAATAGTTTAGAAGCTCTTGCGCAAAGGTTTATCATGAAAATAAGTAAAATCGGCCAAAATAACACGCCTACAGTACAACATAAAAAGCAAAAGTTAAGTATTTCGCTCGTTGCTTATAAATCACCACAAATCAAAGCTAAAAATTTTGACCTACATTGCATTACCAATCTTAAGAGTATCTGTTCAGAAATACCACCTACCCTTCTTATTATAGGATATCGGCTTCACTTTTTCCGATCTCAAGGGTACACTCACCAACTTTCGATGATGACAGATATGTCTACGGCCGAATACAATTTTCTTACTTTAATAGAACTATTCGTCAAAAACTTCAATGTGTGCTTCAGTTTACACAAGGGCCTCATCGTTTGGTCTAAATCTCATTCTTTGGAGCATCCTTTTGACATTTCCTAATAGATAGTACTCGCTGCGAGGTCGGTCTGAAGAGGACGATGGTTGGAGTTGCAATTCCAATCTAAATGCATGCAACTTCCATTTCAACCATCAACTTGTGACTTGTATGTATTTTTGTTGCACTGTGAGTAAAGAGAAAAGCTCTTGTGGGAAATGGCATTTCCATGTACCGAGAAATATGGAGTTCACCGTGCGCCATAGGAGGCGGTATGAAGCGCTGTTTATAATCAGCAAGTCACAGAAAAATTCTTCATTTTAACCAAAAAGGGTTGTCAATACAAAAAGAAGAAAAGTGCTCTTATCCGCGATCAAGTCACTTTTTCATGAACACAAGGAATTCAAATGTTTTCTTTCTTTTAAAAATAAAAGATGATGGAAATGGCATGATATTTTGAAAGACGTATTTTGAGGGTTGGCTCTTTCTGGAATTAATAAGGACTGCTCGCTAGAGACGAAGTCGACATATTTCAATCCCGGAAGTTATCGATCGACATGTTATAGTAAATATTATTTTTACAAAAAGCATTTTTTGGCAAATATAAATAAACATGCACGATGACACGCACAGTCATGTAGCTATGTTCTACACGCACGCACACTTGCATAATGTTTGGATAACATACATTTATGAAAATTTGAATAGTAGTTTTATAAATTGCTATTTACGGAAATATGTACAGTACAACGGCATAGCAATGGAAATAGTACCCGTCAAATTTTTACAGGTGCGTTTCACAAAAAAAAACCGTACAAAAAAGACCGTATATAGTTACAATGGGCTGTTTAATGCTGTGTTATAAAATAAATCGCTATTCTTATAAAGACGATTTTTGCCTAATTTTTCTTATAAGCAAAGCAAAAAAATTTTACTGCGGTGTGAGTGGTATAATTAATAATTTTCGACGCCCAATTATCGAATACTGTAAATGAATACTTTTGTAGCTTAAAGTTTATTATTGATTATTATTCCGTGTTAACCCAGGGACAAAAGCAACCTTACTGTAAGTTTGAAAACACCTGCTTGTGTGCATTTGCTTGAATATGACAAACAAACATTTTTTCTGCGATAAGTGCTTATGCAGGGTAATCCCATCCTTCGCTCTCTTTTGTCCCCCTCGCCTCTCTCACTCACTCTCTTATCATCTGCCTTTGTCTTTTATTCTAAGTGCGACTAAATGCATATAAAATGTGTTTGTAAGCTTAAGCGTACATATACAAAATGAATTAATCTCAAGCGTACACTTGATGCGATATACAGAGGATTCTGCCTTCCAGTTCAGTCAATGCGTCTGGTTATATACACATGCAATTACACCCTCAGTTATTAAATTTGTTAGTTTGAACTTATGTGTTTTTAATGTTTGTACAACAGTACCAATATCAACATCCAGCATACCAACAGATAGTTTCTAAGTGTAGTGCTATGTATGCATATTTTTGAAACTTCGTACCTATACAATAACAACGACCTTCGTATGGAGTTTATTTGAACACCCGCATGTGAATTTTATTGAAATTGAAGGAATAATTAAACCATAAATTTGTTTTAATGTTAATGTTGCTTTTATTTATTTTTGCATACGAAAAAAAAGAACAAAAAAAACTTTCTATTAAACTGTAAACGTTTAGTTTAGCAAAAGCAAAAGCTACGTTTATACACATTTAATGAATGTCCATGACTTGATATGCTTTAGCTTTACATACCATATTTGAAAATTCTGTAGGATATAAAATGCTTTGCATACTGAAAATGTAAGCTAAAACAAAAATAAAATTAAAAACAAATTTTCAATTTTTGCAGAAAAAACACAACAACGACGACAACATTTTGCATATTAGAAACCGAATTTTAAACACTCCTCATGTAAATATGAATGTCGGGTGGCGTTTACTAATGTTCCTTGCGACCACTTTAATGAAAGATAAAATCCTCTACGTCAAAGCTGTATGTATTGATGCATTATCTTTTTATATAAATTATTAAAAAATGTGTATATAAATTTAGATTTTGATCTAAATTTGTACTGTGCCTGTCTTTCCCACATTGGCAGATTCCCACGATTTTTATTTCTATTGATTTTCATCTAAATATAATCATCGGCGAGCCTTTCGTAATCTTGATCACCTTGATGTGTTGATTGCAACAATTGGTCCGTGAACTTTCTCTATATCAAGATTTATTTTGAATCCTTATTAACAAACAAAAATTTAAAAATTGATTAAAACTATGCTTTAACAGACGGTGATGTCTATTGTGAACATGTTTTTAGGTGAAGTTGAAACATTTTTAAAGATACTAAAGCCAACGTTGTCTATGAATGCACAATTGCACTGAATATCTTTTAGCCTTTCTTAATAACAGCCTCTGTAGTAGCTTAATGGGTTCATTACTGTATAAATATATTTTATAAATTCTTAATAAGGAACCATATTAACTTCTTATCTTTCTACATTTTTTCTTTTTTCAAATTTTATTTCAAATTATTATCCGATATTATCAATTGAGGTCATTTTAATATACAAAGAATATTATCATTATTAGCTGGCATGTATTTTGGCCATTTTTCCATTTAAAAGAGGACTTTATTGGAAAAAATTGGTACAATCAAAATATTTTCCATCATTTTTCAAGACCTTTTCATCTTTCTGGC